TTCCCAGTTCTCTACATATTCCTTAATCCAGTGAAGGTGACACCTAAAATTAACTATCGCACCTTATTAGGAGAAATTTGTGAAATTAAGGATCCACGTAATCATCATGGACTACACATTGTTTCATTAGTTCTGGGTGTAGCAGTAGACTCTAGTGGAAAGTATGTTAGACATTCACTTTCTGCCAATATACAACAGCTCACTGTAAATGTGATGAAGGAATATTGTCTGGACTATATGGATAAAAGTTTTCAATGCCCTTGGTCCACAGTCATCTGAGAGGGCTGTTTCAAAGTGTTTTATTTTTATCCTTAACAGAGATGTATAAAATCAGCAATCAAAAGATGTGATTCTGTGCACTTAAAGGTCTTTCATGGGTGAAGGTTTTATGCAGTATTTAAATATCATCTTGATCTTTGAATTGCCTCATTGTTTAATTGTTTCCCTAAATTATGAAGGAAAATATATTCTCAGGGCTCTTTTGCCTCTCTTCATATCCCTTAGAATAGATTAATAAATGGAGAGAAGTTGGTATTTTTTATTTACTTATTTTTTTATTATACTTTAAGTTCTGGGGTACATGTACACGACGTGCAGGTTTGTTACATATGTATACATGTGCCATGTTGGTGTGCTGCACCCATTAACTCATTGTTTACTTCAGGACATAGGCATGGGCAAGGACTTCATGTCTAAAACACCAAAAGCAATGGCAACAAAAGCCAAAATTGACAAATGGGATCTAATTAAACTGCAGAGCTTCTGCACACCTAAAGAAACTACCATCAGAGTGAACAGGCAACCTACAGAAAGGGAGAAAGTTTTTGCAATCTACTCATCTGAGAAAGTTGATATTTTTAATGTACACCTACAAAATGTCTTTTTTCTCTCTCTCTCTCTATTAGTCCTGTTTGTCTATTGCATACTGTGAATAGGCATGTTTTCTGAAGGGTTGCAGGGTCTCAGACCTCCTAGATTCTCAGGTGATTAAGATCCTGGCAGGGTACTAAAATTCCACCATGACCTGGGAATGCACTGCTACCCACTTCCAACCGTCAGGACTCAGGAAACAGTAACAAGAAAACTCCCCGAGCCCTACCCAGTCTCTGATAAATTGAAGGCATAGGCCAGAGTTGGTGTGATGGAAAACTGTAAAACCCAAAGTGATTATTTTCAGAACATCTGACTTCACGTTTCTGTCTGCTTCTTCTTTACATCATCCTTTTATTTTTTTCCACCTGACCTGTGTAAGTGACTGACCTTCACACTCTTTCCCTTGTGATCTTACTGAAAAATTCTTTTAGAAAAATATCAGGTTAACATGTTTACATTATGCCTGAAGTTTCAAAATTGTATTAAGGGAAATCTCTTTGGGAGATGTTAATAGCTGCAAAAACAGGAAGTCATTTTTTTTAAACTTTTAAGTTCGGGGGTACAAGTGCAGGTTTGTTATATAGGTAAACTGTGTCTTGGGGGTTTGTTGTACAGATTATTTTATCATCCAGGTATTAAGCCAAGTACCCATTAGTTATTTTTCCTGACCTTCTCCCTCTTCCCACCCTCCACCCTCCAATAGGCCCTAGAATGTGTTGTTCCTCTCTTTGTGTCCACCTCTTTTCCCCAGTTAGCTCCCAATTATAAATGAGAACATGCGGTATTTTGTATTCTGTTCCTGTGTTAGTTTGCTAATGATAATGGCCTCTAGCTCCATCGATATTACTGCAAAGGACACGATCTCATTCCTTTTCATGGCTGCATAGTAGTCCATGGTGTATATGTACCACATTTATCCAGTCTACCACCGATGGGCATTTAGGTTGATTCCATGTGCTTGCTATTGTGAATACTGCTGCAATGAACATACACGTGCATGTGACTTTATGATAAAACAATTTATATTCCTTTGCATATATACCCAGAAATAAAGCCAAGTCTTTTTCTGAGCAAATAAGTTATTTCTAAAAAGTTATAGAAAACTAAATTTGTTTACCCAAGCCTTTAATGAGGGATTAAATGGTCTCAAAGATGGGGCTTTACTATGCCATACACCCCAACTTCTGGATCCAATAACGTGTTATCTTATGTATGGTTCCCATCTTCAAAGATATGTTTACATAGAGAATCAGTGAAGCTATTGATCCACAGTGGTGATTAGACTGTAGCATTTTCATAACTTGCTAGGGATCACTTTATAATTCCATGATTTCAATTTAAAGTACTCTAGAATAAATTCTCCAGAGTGCAGTTTGGGAAATGCGATACAAAAGTGTAAATTATGATTGGGGTTTAAATCGGTATATTCGTTTTATATACGCTGCTATAACAAATTGCCACAAATTTACCAGAGGGTCTAGAACAGAATTCATTTTCTCACCTTTTTCAGCTGTAAAAGGCTGATTCCAGCATCACATCACCTTCTCTCATTCAATTCCTTCTTCTCTCTTTTAAGAATCCTATGATTGCTTTGGACCCACCTGAATAATCCAGGATAATCTCCCCATCCCCAAATCCTTAACTCAATCACAAAAAGTCGTTTTTGCAATGTAGAGTAACATAACCACAGGTTTCAATGATTAGAACATACATGTCTTTAGGTGGCCATTATTCAGACTGCCACAACTGGGGTTGGGAGGTCTTTGCCTGATAATGAAAGAGAGACTTAACAAATGAAAAGTTGAATGGTAACATTTTAGAAATTAGACAGCCATTGAGAAAGATATTTTGGGGGTGGAATTGGTACCATGATTACCTATAAAGTTCCTGGATCCTTAAATCTCCAAGGACTGGGATTGCAGAAATTTATCTGTTGATTCAGATCAAGAGTGAGTAGTGACCTATCCTCAGGTGGTGGAGGGACCCTGAGGGCTCTGGTGAGGTACCTATGCTTTCCTACATTTGGATTCCCTAGAGATATCTTGAAGGTGTTGCTTTTTATCATGCTATTATTGGATTTGAGAGTTTCATAAAGAATAATCTGAGTTATTTCAGATTTGTGAATTGTAAGACACGCATGGAAATAGCTAAAATACTTAATGTTTATTTACAGATAAACCAGCTTTTTTATTTTCATGCCAGCTAGACAAATGTGCTTGTCCCATATCAATCCTAGAAGGGACCAAGTGCTTAAAGAAAAACTTGGGAGGGGGAGAGTGGGAGAAGGGAAGAACAGTGCTATGCATCAACCTGCTCATCTTTAGTTATGATGATTGGTTTCCAGGTTGCTCATTATCTCATTTTTCAAACAGCAAATACAGAATGTAAAGCATTTTGCATCACACTTATACTGAATGCTTTGAGCAGTGATTCTTGGAACTTGGATGTAGGAATAAACTGGAAATACCCAAGAAAACCGTCCCAACAGGAAGAGAGGTCTCTCTGGTACCAGCTCTTTTCTGAATTTCCTGGCTTCTGGTTGTATGTCCCTAAGGTGGAATGCTGCACAGAGTGTGCCTTGACCTCCACTTATAAAATCATGTGGCTTCCCCCTACTTCATTTACTTCTCTTTATGTTAATTCTCTACAGATTATTAAGACAAGGAATGTTCTGCTTAGGTATATCCACAATGAGAGGGTCAGGTTATGATATTTATCTGAGAGCTTAAGGAATCTGGCTTAGGTCCAGGGCTAGTATCCTTTGGTGTTTGGGGCAATAACCTAAGTACCTTTATCAGTGCCTGAAAGTGTTCAAGGCCCAGGCTTGGATTTAGGCCTGCAAGGGAAAACATGCAGCTGGCTGATATTTCTTGATCAGGAAAGAGAAAAAAGTAGGGGAAACTGAGGAATCCTACATAAGAGTACATGTATGTGAATGGGTATGTTTGTGTGCGTGTGTCCATAACCCATCCGGGAATTCAGGATGGTAAATTCAGGATCATAAATCATCCTGGTTTCTTTTCAATCTGAAAAAAAAATTCTATTATTTATTTAAGCATCAAGTCTTCTCCACCTATTCCAATTTCTCCTAATCTATCCAGTAACCATTTTTCCTTCCATTTATCTAGTCTTGTCTTTAGTTGCCAAATGATATTCTTAAGCTCTGAATAATATTTCTTGTGGCAGTTGAATTCCCCATAAGATCTCTTCCTTTTCCGATGCAAGTTGACTTCTTTTTCCTCCTCCACTTCCCTAGCTAGGCATGTGCTCTGATTTTCTGACTCTTTTCTCTGGATACCGATTCATTTACATGGGATGGTAGATTTTTGATGGCTCATTGGGGCTGATGTCTGGTTATCAGAATGCTCCTGGTGGTGGCTGTTCTGCAGGTGGTAAAAGGTGAAGAGGACCACTTCTTTGGGTCCAAGATATAGAAACCAGTAATGCATTCTCTTGCTGATGTACATAGAGAAGGACTTCTTGTCCCCTCATTTTCAGTCCTTTCCTGGCCTCAGGAAGGACTCAACCTAATCCTTCATATTTTTCTTAATCTGTGCAGTGCTAGGGCCAGGCATTCTTCATGAAGGGCTGACTTTGACGTTTACTAAAGTCCATACCAAGTTCTTTCCAAAATCTGCCACTCTCCCATTCTCACCTTGGAGATTCCTGAAGCTGTTCTCCAGGCACTTGTCTGACCAGTTTAGGTGCAATAATATATATTATATACATCATAATCTAAGTGATTTATATTAGCGAGTGTATGAGATTAATTGACCAAAATAAATGTTAGTTGCCAGAAGCTGAACTGTCTTTAAGGTAACTTCCCTTTTACACATACACATAATTGCAAAAAGTAAGACCCCTTAGTGATCACCTGTGCTGAGGCTGCAGGCCATAGTGTGCATGATTAAATCTTGAGTTCATTATTTTCTCTAGCTGGCTATTTATTTGTGTTGTAGTTAATATTTTCTGGAGAAAACTATTGAACCGAGTGAAAAGTGAATTATCCATGGGATACCCATTATCCCAAACATGGTATAAAATCCATGATCCATGTCTAGTACTGAAGAATACCTGAGGGAGGCAGAGATAGAGCAAACCAGTGAAGGACAGAGAGAGAGAGAACATTTTACATGATATTATTTTTATTCATGCACTACTCATTGCGCAGATTTAACAGTGCTGGCTACTGAGGATTAGGTGGTAAAATACTACACAGTGGTTGCTATGCTGTGCTTGACCAGAGCTGTCTACTGATTTCCAGTTAAAGGCTGCGTCTATGACACATTTCTGAATGAAAAATAAAAAATTGCATTCACTAGTTTACATGTTTCTGATTTACTATTTTCAAATTCTTTCTTGGACATTGACATAACTATGCTTCATATATAAATAAGGATTTAAATTTAGAAGCGAATTATCATCATATTAACTACTATAGACTTCCACTATATTGTATGCATCAAAACAAAGATACAAACATTAAAAACTTTAATACATCAGATTGTTCAGGATTAGTGTCCTGCTTAACTGAACATAACCAGAACCACTCTTCAAATCTTTCTGTAATGTATTTGTAAACTTGTCTGCATGCTGATACAATTAGGAAACATACTAAGTTGTTTGATTATAGGTGCTTTTGCAGTCTTGAGGATGTTGAATTGCAGTTCCTCCTGGTCAAACCTGTAAAGTGCAAGATAGATTAGATGGGTTCTAGTGACCAAACATTTACCTTTTTAAATGCTTATTAAATTTTTAAAAATAAACTAAACTTTTAGTAATTCACTTAGTAATTTCTTCTAAAACCTAATGATAAATGATAACAAATAAAGACAAATAAGTAATGATAATCAGGATATCTGAATATCCTCATAGGTAAGGTGCTTTATTAATTAAGGCTTTATTAAATGTGGCCAATGATCCTTCATGTGAAAGTTATCTCCTTATTTATAAACTCTGAGTATTACTAATTTTTTAAGACAAGAAAGAATATTGAATAATCAAGCATAAATGAAAGTCTTATATAACTTGGTTTTGCATGAAATAAACTACGTCTAAAGCAAAATTTAATATTTTATCTTCCCTCATCATTGTAGATAGAGTATAACACTTTAGTTAAAGAGAATTCTATATTTATCATCATCATTAATTCTTCTCTGTTTTCTGTTCTTTAATTCTACCACCAAAATCTACTGATCCCAGATAGATTTGCAATTTCTTATCTTTACCACTATTTGAAGTCTGTTTCAGGACCAAAGCGCTGCTGTGGTAGTAAAAAAGTCAGATTAATTATCTAACATTTTCTTTAATCTATGCTAATATTTTACTGAATTGGCTCAATTAATAGTAATTTGTTTACATGTATTTTTCCACTGTGAATATGAAGGATTTATTTTGCATTTATCCTCTGCTACCCATGAATTTAAACACCTTAAGGCCAGGGTCCATAGATTTCACTTTCTTCTCTGGTCCTTCACAGACTAAACCTATATTCTGGATGGCACCTATAAATGCAGAGATTTCCATTAGTGAAAGTTGTGTTTCCGTTAGTGAAGTTGTTCAAAACAAACAAACCTGTTTTGCTACACGACTGAGCTCCACCGCAACATCCACTCCAGAATTTCCGGTGCCAATCACTATGATTCTTTTCCCTGAAAAGTCCTCAGGACTTTTGTATTCCCTACTATGGAAATAACAGCCTTCAAACTTCTCAATGCCTGTGATGGAAGAACATTTCTCATTATTAGTATTTTTCACATTGCTAACTCAACACATAGAAAGTTATATTCTGGTTCATCTGGAAGAGCAAGACTTTGAGTCTGGGTTAGCTATACGGAACATCACCCTATGTCCTAAAAATGTAATTTTATATTTCACAGAGCTCAGGAAAGCAGGGAGTAAACTCACACTTACAACCCACACACGCTAAATATAGACTAGTGACCATATACAGTATTTAGCAAATAGTAGATCTATCTGTCTTGGACCTATTCCAAATTGAAAGTTTCACAACAATTTCACTATGATCTAATTTATTCATGATTGCATTGTCCTCTGCAGTCTTAGGCAAAATGATGAAGCTGGAAACTGGTTGTTGTTTTGTTTTGTTCCATTATTCTCTGAGGAAGTATAGGGCCTTTCTTCATCAACTTGACATCTCCTCTTCCTTCCAAGTGCCTGATGCCCTCATGTGGTCCCTGGCTCTGCTGAGAGCTTCAGAACAGCCGTAATCTGTGTCTGGCATTCTCATACATTGTCTCGCTCTAGGCATGTTTGTATCTCTGTCCCCTGACACCTATTAAAATATATATATGTCCCAAAAATGTCTCTGTAAGGTGTGTCTCTCAGCCAGGAAGCAAGTCAAAAAGAAGCTGATACATATATTACAGTTATTAATATAATCTATATATTTTGTTATAATTATATAATAATTTCCAGAATATATTGCATTTTAGCATTTAGAAAATCAGGTATTTTTATTTTACAAATGTTTGTGTTGGTGTGCAAACACAGAAAGGTCAGGTATTTGTCATACATGACTCAGTCAGTCAGTTGGACAACCAAAATTCAAGTTTAAGTCCCTTGATTTTCATCTAGGACTCTTCCATTTCCAGTCTGCCTCAACCACCAAAGAATTTCTTATGATGGCCTGTTAGACATCATGGAAAGGCACTGAGATATCGAGTATTTCTTGATTAACTTCTGATAGCAATTGATGTAAAGGGAGGGGAAATGGATCAGAAGTAAAGGGAGAGGCTTTAGTTAGAGGGGATAGGGAAGCTTTTTTGTTTTGTTTTGTTTTCAAGTAATAGTCGCATTTGAGATGGGCACCATTTTACCAAACAGAATTCAAAGGGATTTACCAAACAGTAAGCTGCTAGTGTGTTTCTATCAAGCAATGAAAACCAGTGATAAATGAATGTTATTTAAAATTTTGTCCCATACTCTAAAATTTTTAAGTTTGTGGATTTGCCAGCTTTTTGCTTGCTTTGCTTGCCATTTGCCCCTTATTTTTAGTAATTTCACTTTCTCTGAAAGGAAGTGAGATCAGATGAATGGACACAAAACTAAAACCAGTTGAAAGTGGGCCAGGGCTAATTGTTATCATTAATTAGAAGCTATTTAAAACTATAGAAAGTAAAAAACAGATGTGTGTTTGCCTATTTTTGTTGTCTAGTATTGTCCTGTTAACATAAATATTGGGTATTTAGTTGTTTGTTATTGAATGTGACCAGAGACTAGTAATAAAGTTCGTGCTCAATCATTTTGCTCTGTGGGTTATCTGGAAAGTACTCTTTTACCAAACAGATTCTTAGTAACATACCTGGGAAGGACTGAAGTGGTAAGTAGGGATCTGTGTGGTGTACACTGCAGACTAAGACCCCATCAAAGACCAAAGTCTCTTGCTTCTCTTCAGTCTCCACAACAACATCCCATTGTCCATTGACAGAAAAATCTGAGTGCTTCCTCACACTTTGCACTTTGGTCTGAGAACAAGGGCAAAACATAGGTGATACACTGTCACAGTTCTCAGTTTTAATCCCTCCTCCCCCAAACCCCATGAGTCTGAGTAATACAACTTATCTGAGACTCTTCTATCTTCATCAGAGGCATTTGCTCTCACTTTAGTTCCCACTCCCACAGTGACTGCCTTTGCCGTGTGTGCATTTTCAAGATATTACAGGTATTTTATTTAAAAATCCAATTTTCCATAGAAATAGAAATAGTTAATACTTAACAGTGAAAAAACAGAGGAGTGACTGAAGCTGCAAGAGAAATATCCTTCCAGGATGACTTCCACATGCAAGAGACTAATATTCCTTATATTTTTCATATTTTAGCACAAACTTATTCAGTTTCCCTGCACTTGGCTTTTGAGTTTCAGACAGGAATTAATATTCCACCATGACTATAGAGATGGATTTTTAAGTGTGAGTTGGGGGTCATGGTGGTAGATTATGGGAACTACACGAATCTGAAAAAACGTCTTCCTTGTGTTGCTTATATGACCTTCCCTTCATTCTTATTCTACATACACACAATATAATATGGCTCAATTACTACTGCCACTATTCTAAGTCCTTCAACAGTTGAATTTAAGGCTGACAGAAAGGACCCTTACAATGCCACACCAAAGTCTTATTAGAATAGGTTCTGTTGGGCAAAATTCTTCAACCTTATATTCAAGTGAAATATTCAAAACATTACTGCTTTATAAGGGGTGATTTTCTAGGGTGGAAGCGCGCTGATGATCTCTTTCTCTGATCATACCAGAAGATGCCAAATATAGCTCATGTGTGTACAATTGAGTGTGTCTGCACACATACATGCACACGCAGACACACACACACACACACACACACATTGACTATGCAATGATTCACTTAGATTTTACCTTAAAACCAATGTAATCGAGGAGGCCAAAGTGTGTGGCATGCATCCTGAAGTAGTCCTGAGTTTGGAGCTGTGCATGTACTTGGGAAAATTATCAGGGACACGGAAGTCACTGAAGCATTTCATCTCCTTGGAAGTATTGATGGTCACAGATTACTTGTAAATACTAGGCATTTTCTCTGAAGTATTTTTCTACAGGAGAAAGATTCTCTTAATAAAATAAACTTTACAATAACAAGAGAATCTAAATACAATATTTTAGAGAAGAAAAGTAATCGGGAATAATAAAGAACATTGCCTTTTACTTTTCCATGAACATTTTCTCTCTTCTGTCCATATCTACTAGAGAAAGAAGTTACTCTGAGTCAACAATAGGCTTATGTTTGATTGCTCAATAGAAATGACAGAAGTCAGGAAAACTGGAATGTTATCTTTAAAATGCTGAAATAAACTTCAATACCAGTGAAAATACCCATCAAAAATGAAAGTGAAATAAACCTGCATTCAGACAAACAAAAACTGAGAGAATTTGTTGCCAGTAATCCCACACTATGAGACACATGCAAGGAAGTTCCTCAGGCTAAATGGGAATAAACAAAGATGGAACCATGCAAATACAGGAAGAAATGAAAACCCTAGGAATCATGAATATGTGGATAAACATAAAAATATTGACTAAAACATTAGTAATAGTAATATCTTGTGGGGTTTATAAAATATTCAAGTAAAATACATAATAACACAAGGGTCAGAAAATGGGGCTAAACTGTTATAAGATCTTTGCCTTCTTCAGGTAGAAAGCAATAAGACAAGGATATGCATTAAAATTTAAAAGGATAATTCAAAAATGGATATCTAAATAATGTACAAAAAAATAAAAAATGAGTAAAACAAAAAGAAAGAAGGAAATCAAGAGTAAAGAAACAAGAAGGATACAAAACAAATCAAAAGCATACTAGATAGTAAATTAAAACCCAATATATTCATGCTTTATTATATGTAAGAACTCCAATTAAAACAAAAAATAAAATACCAGACAAAACCTCTTTATTTTATTTACAAGAGACAAAAGGCAACTGGAGTGGCTACATTAGACAAATTAGGTATCGTGGAACTATTAGACATAAAGAGAAAGAAATAATAATAATATAAATGTCAATTCTACAGGAAGATATTAAAATCTTAAATTCAAATGCACCTAATAACATAATTTCAAAATATGTAAGGTAAAAATTAACAGAATCAAAAGGAGAAACTAATATACAAAGTTTTTCTAGGAGAAACTCATAAAGAAACTCATATACAGAGGTGGTGGGGCAGGACTCAAGCACATGCAGAGCTGAGAGGGTTAGGTGTAGTGGAGCATGGCTGGAGCACCCATCTCCCAAGGCTCAACTATGTTCCTCTAGGAGACTTTAGCTTTAGGGTGACTTTGGACCTGGACAAAGTGGGGTGGTCTTGCCTGTGGGATGAAGACCGTCTGATCTGCGTACCCCTGTCTGTTGGCCTCACCTGGGGCCCCAGCCTGGCTACACCCGCTGGCAGTGCAACCACGGATGCCCAGCTGGGGTGCTTCCCAGGGCTTTAATCATAGCTCCTTCTTGGGCTGCCTGCATTTAACTATAGAAGAATTCCAGCAGAGAGCCAGCCTTCCCCCACCAACACACAAGTGCACCCCACTACCCCATACCTGCTAACACCCCACCCCATGATGTCAGGCTACACTTCCCATCCCCCTCCTTGCTGACACCCCACCAGGTCACCCCTGCAGGATGGATGTGCTCATGGGCACTGGCAATCCTGTTTTTATGAGTGCCACGCCTCTACTGCTGCGACTGCTGCTGGTAGTAGGTAGTGCTAGCACAGATGACGGCAACCGCTCCCCTGCCAGCACCCTCCCCAGCTGATGCGCTGCTGCAGCTGGCTAGCACATGCAAGTGAGCATGGATCCCACTGCCCCACCTTGAAGAGGTACTTTGACCCACACTCCTCCATTGGAGTGTTATGGCCAGTGGACCAGGAGCACCTTGGCCCCTCCAGTGCAGCAGGATCCTAACATCAGAGAACAAAGCTGGGGCTGGTACCAGTCCCCCAGTTAGAGGACACAGTCTGGAATACTGAGCTGAGTTTTGGGCCCCTAAAATCTTTTAGAAATGAAGCCAGTCAACTGAACCCACCTTATCCCACAATCAAATTCCCAAGGGCATCAAAGAGGATTAAAGCAGAAAATCTCACCCAAAGGACAGCAGCTTCAAAGACTAAAGCAATATCAACCCACACAGATAAGAAAAGACCAGCACAAGAATTCTGGCAACTCGAAAAGCAGTGTGCCTTCTTTCCTCCAAAGAACCACATTAGTTTCCCAGCAATGGTTCTTAACCAAGCTAAAATAGGTAAAAATGACAGACCTAGAATTCAGAATGTGGAAGAAACAAAAATCATTGAGATTCAGAAGAATGTCAAAACCCAATCTAAGAAATCTAAGAAATACAATAAAATGATACAGGAGCTGAAAGACAAAATGGTCATTTTAAGAAAGAACAAAACTGTTTGGACAGAGCTGAAAACTCACTTCAAGAATTTCATAATACAATTGCAAGTATTAACAGCATAATAGACCAAGCTAAGGAAAGAATCTCGGAGCTTGGAGATTAATTAACACAGTCAGAAAAAAATAAAGAAAAAAGAACAAAAATAAAAGAATAAAACCTTCTAGAAATATGGGATTATGTAAACAGACCAAATCTATGACTCACTGGAATCCCTGAAAGAGAGGGAGAGAAAACAAGCAACTTAGAAAGCATTTGAGGATATCATTCATGAAAATTTCTCCAACCTTGCTAGAGAGGCTAACATTCAAATTCAGGAAATGCAGAGAGTCCCTGTAAGATACTATACAAGACCACCATCCCAAAGACACATAGTCATTAGATTCTCAAAGGATGAAATGAAAGAAAAAATGTTAAAGGCAGCTAAGGAGAAGGGATAGGTCACCTACACAGGAAACCTTATCAAGCTAACAGTGGAAACTTCAGCAGAAACCCTACAATCCAGAAGAGATTGGAGGCCTGTATACAGCATTCTTTTTTTTTTTTTTTTTTTTTTTTTTTGAGACAGAACCTTGCTCTGTTGCCCAGGCTGGAGTGCAATTTCCACCTCCCAGGTTCAAGTGATTCTCCTGCCTTAGCCTTATGAGTAGCTGGGATTACAAGTATGTGCAATCACGCCCAGCTAAGTTTTAGATTTTTAGTAGAGATGGGGCTTCACCATGTTGGCCAGGCTTGTCTCAAACTCCTGACCTCAGGTGATCCACCTGCCTCAGCCTCCCAAAGTGCTGGGATTACAGGAGTGAGCCACCGTGCCTGGCCTTATATTCAGCATTCTTAAAGAAAAGAAAACAAATTCCAACCAAGAATTTCATATCTAGCCAAATTAAGCTTCATAAGTGAATGAGAAATGAGATCTTTTTCAGAGAAGTAAATGCCAGGGGATTTTGTTACCACCAGACTTCTCTTACAAGAGATCCTTTAGGGAGTGTTAATTATGGAAAGGAGAGACTGTTAATGGTTACCACAAAACACACTTAAGTACATAGACCATTGATACTATAAAGCAACAATACAATCAAGTCTGCATAATAATCATTTAATAGCTCATTGACAACAGGACCAAATCTGTACGTATCAATGTTAACCTTGAATGTAAGTGGACTAAATGCTCCAATTAAAAGGCACAGAGCGGCATGCATCTTGGATAAAGAAGCAAGAGCCAACTGTATGCTGTCTTCATCCATTTCATAAGCAATGACACCCATAGGCTCAAAGTAAAGGGATGGAGAAAAATCTACTATAGTTTGTATATCTGTCCCCACACAAATCTCATGTTGAATTGCAATCCCCAGTATTGGAAGTGGGGTCCAGGACCATGAGGGTAGATTTCTTATGAATGGTTGAACACCATCTCCCTGGTGCTGTCCTTGTAATAGTGAGTAAGTTCTAAGGAGATCTGGCTGTTTAAAAGTGTGTGGAACCTCCTTCTCCTTCTTGCTCCTGCTCCCACCATGTGGGAGGCTTGCTCCTGCTTCACCCTCTGC